TATATACCAAGTATAGCCTACAAGTGTTTATGAAGTATTTAGAAAAATCAATACTATATATGCAGGAAAGAAAATCAGTAATATATGAAGCAAGTTTTTCCATTCTAACTAATCTGATAATGAACTAAATCTATAATTCAGTAATACAATTATAGCCTCATACTCTCAACTACATGAAAAATTTAAAATATAAAACAGGTTAAAAATTTAATCTCATACTCAAACGTGCAGAAATGCAATTTTGCTTCTTCTCCATACCTGAATTCAATATGCTTATCGGCCCCTGCTTCCCCTGATAGCAGAAAAATCTAACCGTGTTGAAGAATGATAACTAGTTAATGCCTATTATATTGGGGTTTCTTCTTGCTCCTCCTTTTGGTTTCCATGGGCAGATCACAGGCTGCGGGCTTGTGGATAGCCCAGCATGGGAGTAAAGTGTCAGCCTCTGTAGCTGCTGTTCATGGTACCTGCAATGGGCTCAGGCTGTGTGAGGTCTAGTCTCCTGGACACTTGGACCTCCGTATCAGCTACCAGCCTTTGACACACTTATATCCTCAGTCCATCCATATTACCCCTCTGCTCTCACAGCCCTGGGGACCTCAGTAGTCTACTTCACACAGTACTTCAGTGATCAGGCCGTTGAGAAGCAGCCCTCAGAAACTTCCATGTTGCTGCTTCTCATAGCCATTGCTAACCTGTCTGTCTTCCAGCCAAGTTTTGTTCTGAGGCCATGCTGAATTTGAAGCCTCTTTAATAAGCTTACAGTCATCATTGTTGTAGGAATCAGGGGAGAAATAACTCCCTGAGTTTTCCAAAATCTATCTTGTGGCCTCCATCCTCATTTACCTAAAGCTCATCAAATTTCAATCTCCCAGAGAGACCCAAAGAGCAGGTCCCACACCATGTAACTCTTATCTCTGCCGATTTTCTCCTAACATCCTCTACCCAGACTAGAAAGAGTTTTGCTCTCCTTTCATGTAATGGGAAATTACAGTTTTATAATATATACTATCCTCCATAATATTTCACTTAAAAAAGGCTCTACCCCAGATCCTTCAAATGCTTTTTTTTTCTATTTAAAAGAAAGGTTTTTTATTTTCTTCTCTCCTTTTCAAATATTGCCCCGTGACTAATATTTTCCTAAATCACAGATGAGTGAAGTACAACATTATTTTTTTTGAAAATTGAGGAAGATGGCCAAAAAAATTAAAAGAATAAAATTTTCATTATGTATAAATTATATATAGTGATATATTTATAATTATATAAATTATAGAAAAGAATAAGAACTCATGTCCACACAAAAACCTGAACATGAATATTTACAGCAGCATTATTCATAGCTGTCAGAACTTGGAGGCAACAAAGATGTCCTTCAGTAGGTGAATGTATAAACAAACTGCGCTATATAGAGACAATGGAATATTATTCAGAGCTAAAAAGAAATGAGCTATCAAACCATAAAAAGACATGGAGGAACCTTCAATTCATGTTACTAACTGAAAGAAGCCAAACTGAAATGGTTACATGCTGTATGATTCCAACAATATGACATTCTGGAAATGGCAAAATTATTGAAACAGTAAAAAGACCAATGATTGCCAGGGATTGGAGTAAGGGGCTGGGGGAGGGATGGATTGACAGAGAACAGGATTTTTAGAGGAGGCAAACTATTCTGTATGATACTGTACTGGTGGATGCGTGTCATTTTCCATTTGTCCAAACCCACAGAATGTACAATACCAAAAGTAAACCATAATGTAGGCTCTGGACTTTGGGTGATGATGATGTGTGATTGTAGGCTCACCAGTTGGAAGAAATAAACCACTGGTGGAAGCTGTTGGTAACGGGGGGTCCTGTGCATGTGTAGAGGCAGGAGTATGTGGGAATCTCTCTACCTTCCTCTCAATTCTGCTGTGAAACTAAAACTGCTCTAACATAATAAAGTTTTTAAAAAAATAAACAAAAGTAACAAATAGTCAACTTTATTTTTACCTTATAAATTTGATTTATACAATTACAAAAGGGAAGTGAATCTTTTTAAATCTACATGACTCAAACTGAAAACATTGGAATACTGCAATAAGTCAACAAGGAAGTTATCAGAGCAGTAGTTTTACAAAGTATTTGTGGAATTAACAAGTTCATTTTTTTTTCAGTTTTCCAGAATATTTCTCAAGAGTTATGAGTCATTTTTAAATAGAGTCAAAGATAAAACTCCCAGAGTTTTACTCAGAGACACATTTAGGCATGATCTAAACACTTGGCAAAAGAAGAAAACTAGAGCTCAAATTCATTTACTATTTAAAATATGAGCACATATACTTCAAGACAAATAGTGTGGTTCAATCAGAGAATCTATTAATTTCTGATCTATTAATATAATTCAACTCATCAATAGATTAAATGTAAAATACCTTGTATTCTGTCACATGAATTTTTGAAAGACCAGTCAATAGATAAAACCGAGCATTCATTTCTCATTTCAAACAAACAAACAAGAAATAAGCAACTAAATAATTTATGTGTAAACGGGATTAAAGGATATCTAATGTGATGTGGGTTCAGAATCAGTATTCTATGTACTGGGAAATATACAAAAGTACTGTTCCTTTTTGTTTGTTTTTGGCTTTTTTCCAAAGTTCTATACCATAATTCTTATTTATTGTTGTTTAAAAAGTTTTGGCTATATTTTAGAACGTTTTGATCAGGACAATGAAACAAAAAAATGTATACAATTTGGCTTGAAAAGAGTAAAGTGTTTTAAATATGTCATCTGATTATTTCTTTGAAAAGTTGTATGAAATTAACTAAAATGTACATTATTTAATATACGAGTATCTGGATAGAGAAAACAATAGGATGTGTATATAATTTACTTGATAAATGTTTAATTAATGAAAACAATTCGTTTACACTGGAATTTGAGACATAAGTGATATATAACATTATATTGGTTTCAGATGTATTACATAATGATTTGATATTTGTGTATATTGTAAAGTGATCTCCACACTAAATCTATTTAACATCCATTACCACACATAATTACAACATTTTTTTTCTTGTGTTGAGAATTTTTAAGAGCTATTCCCTTAGTAACTGTCAAATATACAATACAGTATTATTAACTATAATCTCCACGCAGTGCATTACATCTAGTGACTTATTCATTTTATAACTGAAAGCTTGTACTTTTTGACCTTCTTCACCCATTTCGCCCACTCCCCACGCCCCCACCTCTAGCAACCACAAATCTGTTCTCTTTATCTATGAGGTGTTCGCATTTTTGTTTTGTTTTTTAGATTCCATACAGTGGAAGTTTTTAAATGCTTGAAATTCACTGGAATTAAGTTAATGATGAATATGTGAACGAGAGAAATAAAATAATAACCTTAAGTGAAGGGCCTTACCAAAAATATTTTGAAAATAGAAAAAGACACTGGATTCTTGTATAGGAAGATGAAATATTTCAAAAATGTTTATTCTTCTCCAAGTAAATGTGTTTATGGAAATAACAAATTCTCAAAATTCCAACAGATTATTTTAAATAAAATTATTTTGAAATTAAACTTTAAAATTAAAGCAGGCAAAAATATCAAATAATTATCTAGATTAAAACAATGGTAAATAGAAGTGGGCAGCAGGATTAATCACTCTTATCATATATTACAATGTGTAAAGAAACAATTTTTTTTTTTTTTTTGCGGTACGCGGGCCTCTCACTGTTGTGGCCTCTCCCGTTGAGGAGCACAGGCTCCGGACACGCAGACTCAGCGGCCATGGCTCATGGGCCCAGCCGCTCCATGGCATGTGGGATCTTCCCGGACCGGGGCATGAACCCGTGTCCCCTGCATCGGCAGGCGGACTCTCAACCACTGCACCACCAGGGAAGCCCGTAAAGAAACAATTTTTTAAAAATAGTGTGGAACTTATGGGGAAAAAAAGTAGACATCTGGAAGTAAGCTTTGCTTTATCTGTAGCTATTCATATGAGGCGAAGACATTCTGATTGGGAGAACAAATCGTCCTGAAATACACTAAGCATTCAAATAGTTTAAATACATGCTAAAGGTAACATTTCAAAGCATTGAAGAAAAACTGGGTTACTCATTAAATAATGTTGGGATAAACATGATTAGAGAAAGTATTCTGCTTCTCTTGTATAATAGGAGGAATATTCATACCAAATCAGATTTCTTTTTAAAAGAATATTTCCATTCCACAAGTAATTTGTAGTAATTTTTACTGGAAAGAAAAGTGGTAGAGAAAACTAGTAACCCATATCCTTCCCAGAGACAACTATCATTAATAGTTCAGTGTATTTCTTCAAGTCTAAATTGTAAGCACGTTTTGTTGTTGACATCATACTTTATACCCAGTTATAACCCCTGAATTTTTCAATCAACATTCCACTCATTTTCCACTTTATAACAAATGTTTACTCAGCACCATTATTAACTAAGTAGGAGTCTATCATATCAATTCTCGATTTTTTCCTCCATTTATTTAAATGTATGGGATATTTTAATTGTTTCCTAATTTTCGTCTTTATAAAAGTAATTTGGGAACAACTGTGTTCATAAGGTGTTTTTGGTACAATGCAGAATAAACTAGGTCTGAATAGCGGTATGTTTTGTTTGTCCGTTGGTTTTTCTTTGTACGCTCTCAGATATTTGTATAAGAGATAAATATAAAGATGTTGATTTTCTTTTCTTTTTTCCTCCTTCTGTAAATTATTGTTTTATTTAGTATTAGAAGGGTTCAGAAAGGAAGTAAAACAGTTTTGTAAAATAAGCTCTTAAAAAGCAAGCAATTATAGTTATTTTTACGTGGCCTAATCAGTATCCTTTTAAATGTGTAATCAAGTGGCATCTATAATTATTTGAGCCACTTGGCTCATGCTACAGTTGAATCTTCTGAAATTCACTTGCTTACTTTCCTTTTCCTGTTCGTTCAGAGCTTATAACTAAGAGTTGACTTTTTTTCTTTCTCATAAAGCTTAGTTTTGGAGGAATTCCAGTACCAGGCAAACCTGGGACCTTTTTAAAGAAAAACTTCCACGGATGTATCGAAAACCTTTACTACAATGGAGTAAACATAATTGACCTGGCTAAAAGGCGGAAGCATCAGATCTACACCGTGGTAAGTCAGCATCCTTCTCAGCTTGATGGTTTCTAACACTTTGGGGTAAGTCTTGCTTTCCCCATCCTAACCTTGACCCCTTCTCATAATATGTTTACATTACACTCTTGGAAGTCTTATCAGACTCCCAGGTGAAACTGGAGGTAAAGCAGGGACTGAATTGGTGTGAATTGTTTTGGGGAGAAATAAATACATTAGAGGCACCTACAGGATTCTATCTTCCTGGTTGTGAGCTTGTGCCATCTGTGGGCAGGGTTTGCAGTCTACACTGGACTGACATGAATCTCTTTGGTATCCCTGGGAAATGCAACAATAGAACCACAGATTCTATTAAATTCTACATCTTCGGAATTATATATTTGTCTACTTATTGTTGTTAAAAAAATAGGGCATTTTGAAGAAGAGAGGTTACAATTTTGGTGTTTTTGAGATTCCCTTTGTACTACTTATTATGCTGGCAAGTTAAAAAAAATTAATTAATTAGTATTTGTCTTTCCCCAATAGATCATGAGTTTCATGAGGACAAGGAACTTTTCTTTTTCACTACTGCATTCACAGTACTGGTGCTTTGCACATAGTAGATGATCAATGGCGTGGACATTTCCAGCTATAATTGTGGATTTGTCTATTTCTCTTTCCAGTTCTATCAGTTTTTGCCTCATATATTTTACAGCTCTGTTGTTTGGTACAAACACAGGGTTGATAGTATTGCTATGTGTTGCTAGTGGATGGGCCCTTTTATCATTACATAATGTTCTTCTCAGTTTATGATAATTTTCTTTGCTCTAAATCTACTTAATCTGATATTAATATAACCTTTCTTGCTTTCTTTTGTTATATATTTGATAGATAGATAGAGATAAAAGTAAAAGAATGGAAGAAAAAGTATATAAATATAAATATATATGCCTATATCATATTTGAAGTGAGTTTATTGTAGACAGTAAATAGTACAGTCATGGTTTTTAATCCACTCTGTCAACCTCTGTTTTTTAATTGGTGCATTTAAACCAGTTACATATAATGTTAAAGTCATTGATGTATTAGAGCTCAAATATATATTTTTGTTTGTTTCTTTTGTCTGTTCTCTCTGTTTTTTATTTTGTTTCTCTACCTTCCTGTGTGTTTCTTGAATGATTTTCAGAACTCTATTTTGATTTATCTTGTGTTTGAATATATCTCTATGTATAGCTTTTGTTAATGGTTTCTTTAGGCATTATATTATAAACATATAATTTATTACAGTTTACTGATATTTCATCAATTTTAGTGAAGTGTAAAACCCTTACATCCCTTTAAGTTCCTTTACCTTTCCCTGTTTATTATATAACTATCTTAATTAACTTTATTATATAATGTTCTTAATTATTATTTTCTCCCTATATTTTTAGAATCATATAGTAATGTTTTTTTTGGCTGTTGAAGTTGTTGGTATGTTAGGGCTCAAATGTGTGACAGATTCAACCATCAAACATAATTTAGAAATCTCAAGAGAAAATGTAAAGCATATTGTATTTACTCATAGTTTTGCTTATTGTTGTTCTTTCTTCCTCCCTGATTTTCCTAGATTCCTTCTTTTGTAATCTCTTTTCTGTTTAAAGAGCTTCCATTCTTTTAGGGTGTGTATACTGATGACAAATTCCCTAACTTTTCCTTCATCTTATAATGTCTTGATATCTCTTTCATTCTTGAAGCCTTTGTTCCCTAGACATAAGATTCTGGGTTCATAGTTGTTTTCTTTCAGCACTTGAAAAATGTTGAGCCCCTCAATTGTTTCTGGTGACAAATACACTGTTATTTGATATTTTCCTCTACAGATAAGATGTAATTTCTTTCTTACTGCTTTCAGTATTTTTTTTTTTTTTTAGTTTTCATAAGTTTGCCTATGATGTGTCATGGTGTGGACTTCTTTGGGTTATCCTATTTGGGTTTCACTGAGTTTTTTGAATCTGAGGGATTACATCTTTCACCAAACTTGGGAAATATTCTGCCATTTATTTGAGTATTTTTTCAGCCATTTTCTTTCTCATCTCCTTCCTGAATTCCAGAGATATGAATGCTTGATCTTTCCTTATAAAATCACAGGTCCCTGTTCCTCTGTTCATTTTTTTCTCAGTCTATGTTGTCTGTTGTTCAAATTAGGTAGTTTTTATTGTTAGAGTTTCAAGTTGATTAATTCTTTTTCTTATTCCCTTCCTTTTGTTATTGTGCACATTCATTATTTTCTCATGTCTGATATTGTATTTTTCAGTTCTAACATTTTCATTTGATTTTTCTTTACATCTTCTATTTCCTTGTTAAATAAGACTTTCTATTTTTTAGTGAGACTTTCTATTTTCTTATTTGTCTCAAATGTGCAATTGTTATTTGAAGGATTTTCATTATAATGACTGCTTAAAAATATTTGTCAATTCTAACATCTTTGTCATCTCAGTGTTGGCATCTACTGAATGTCTTTTTTAATTCAATCTGAGATCTTCCTGTTTCTTGGTATAACAAGACATTTTTTACTGTAACCTGAACATTTTAGGTATTATGATGAATCCTATTTAATCCTATGTTTTAGCTGTCTTCCTCTGACACTGTTCCAGTAGGGGAAATGTGGATTTTGCCTCAGTACTGCTAGGCAGGGGTAGAATCCAGATTTCCCACTAAACCTCCATTGACAAGGGAGGCTCCTTGTTACTCCTAGGTGTAGAGGGGTGAGCATTCTGGTTCCCTGATAGCTCTTCATGGATACTCTCTGACTGGGAGGGGTAGGAAAACCTCATTACTCCTCTCTGTGTGACCTCCAGTGACATCACAGCATGTGTGTGTTGGCGGGGGGGGACTCTGGTGGTTAAAGTTCTGACTCTCTCAAGCCATCTCTGGCACCATGCCTGCAAGGAGTGGGTGGGTTCCCTCATTACTGCCTGGTGTGGGGGGAGGTGAACATCAAGACTCCACTAGGCATGTGGTCACCATTGATACTAAAGGGAGAGGCTTGCTATTATGTGACAAGGAATAAAATCCAGGCTCCATACTTGGTCTCTGTTGACACCTCCCTGGCTGAAGGTTTTGGGCACCTTGTTACAGTATGGCTGGATGGTAGTGTGGCCATAATTTTTTTTTTAAGATTTTTGTTGGCTGGTATAGAGCAATTATTGTCTAAATGTATTCTGCCTTATTCTGTTGTTTCTTTCCTGGACCTTGGATTTGAAAGACGAGGCTTCTAAATGGGGGCTAATATTTTGTCTGCCCCAGTTGGTCTCTCTGTGTTGCTGGCTTCTTCAGCAGCAAGTCTAGGATATAGAAGCAAAAGAAAAATCTAGGGAAACTTCCAACGTTGCTCCTTGGGTCTCAAGATCCTAGTATACGCTTGCTTTCTTCTTTCCACCATTTAGAGTCTTCCTAAATTTTCTTTATATATAATGTTCAGGGTTTTTTAGTTGTACTTGGTGGGAGAAATAGAGGAAATCACATTACTCCATCTTCCCAGAAGAAGAAGTCCATTAAACTCACATTATTTTAAAACCTTTCATAAGAGTAGGCCACCCTATCATTGACAGGCAAATACTGATTTTCCTTGCAATCTGGTCATTGGACTATCTGGCAAACTGGAATTTAAATGACCTTGAGGTCTACTTTTCCCTTGATAAGTTTAACCAGTAATAAATATTTTATGTTTGGGGGTTCTATATGTTAACACATTTTTTTAAGTAGTTATTGATTTCCAGGGTGTGAAACAGGCTTGCTTGAGGACAATCACACTTGCGTTGACAGTTGTAATGTTTTAAAGGGTTGTCCCTGGCTCAGGCTCAAGACTCTTGACGATGTTACCCACATGTACTAAGGTTGTTCATTATCTAATTAAACTAAGCACTAGCTTGCTAATGATATTTTGCTTGAGTCTAGATAAGGAGACTTGAACCATGGAAAGCATATTCATACCCATCACTCTCCCATATTATTCCCCCAAAATATTTCATAACATACCTGTTTCATTGAACTTAATCTGCTAAAACAGTGGGATCAAACACTACTAGGAGTTTGGCTTAGACTGATGTCATGAATATCAACATACCTGAAAGGCAGGACAGCACTGACTTCATTGTGACAAGAGTTGATGAAACAAATTTAAACCACAAGGAACTGAAGAAAACATTGCTCACTTTCATTGTTCAAAAACTGGGCCTCAAAAGTGTGAGAGCCTGAGCCTTAGATATAAATAACTGCAATTCCTATTGTTACCGAGTCCAAGCTTGTACTGCTCACCACATGACTGGCCAAAAAATCTAGAGACAAGGTGTTGGGGCAAGGAAGTGTGACTTTATTTGGAAAGCCAGCAGAAAGAGAAGATGGTGGCCTCGTGCCCCAAAGAACCATCTTCTCCGAGTTAGAATTCAGGCTTCTCTTATACTAAAATGGGAGGGAGTGTGGTTGGTTGGTACAAACTTCTTGGTGTCAGAATCCTTTGTTTTTGCAGCCATCCACTTAGTTCAGGTCATGATATTCCTGTAACCTTCCAACAAGACAAATGTTATTCTATGTTCTGCAACTTCATATCTATATTAATGGAAAAGTGTTATAACTTTAAAGCTCAGAGTCTTGAGAATGGGCTATCCTGTATGTTTCAGGCTATGGGCAACATTCTTAACTTGTAGCAAAAGCAATAGAATACAAAGGTTAAAGTAAAAAAAAAAAAAAAAGATCCAATATGGAGTCAGATTTGTTCTTCTCTATTATACTGTGGCAACATTCATAAAAAAACTCCAAACATACATTACGTGTTAGAAAATATATTAAATGATAAGATATATTAAATAATAAGTCGCTGAATATACAGAGCAAAAAAGGGGGAAATCAGGGAGAACAAGGAGAAAAACATGAATTTCTGAATATTGGTGGCCTTCAACATCTCCTTTGTGGAAAGAATCACTAACCACAATTGTAATAAATGTGTCATTCATTTTTAAGCTACTGGAGCACTTACCAAGCTGCCTAAAACCTTGCTACCATAC